AGAGAGAGAGAGAGAGAGAGAGAGAAGGAAAAAAGGAGCTGTTTCGAGGTAAAGGAGTGTGTACGAGCCGGTAGCTGACTCGTACCGATAAGAAGTCTCGATCCGTTCGGCCGGTTCGTTCTCTTTCTCGTTCCTCTCTGGCCTCTCTTTCTCCCTTTTACATCGAGAATACGACATTAACTGACGGACGAGAAGGCGGCGAGGCGAGCGCGATGTACGCGGGAAACGCGCGGCAAACTCCCGTTTCTAGCTGTATTGAGCGCCAAACGAAATAGGGAATTTAAGTGTCGCCGGCTGTGATGAGATCTCTCTTTTCTCTAGCCTCGTCTCCTTTTCACCTTTTGCAACCGGGGGGGGTTATCGTGCACCCTCTTCTTCCGATTTCGTTTCAACGCCCGTCGTTCGCCGTCCTTCTCCTCTGTTTTGCACACCGGCCAATCCCCCGGGGAGAACTCGAAAGTCCTCTTGTAAGCTTCCTTTTCATCTGTTCCTCCTCATCGTCTCTTCCGGCTGTGGATCGCGTCTTCATCTTCCTTCTTCGCCCGGCTTCCATCGATCGCCGCCGATAATGTCGAGCTGGAGAACCGTTGCTTCGCTTCGGCCGCGGCAACTGCCTCGACTTATTCATGAAAAGGACGAACGAGTTGACGATTGATGCCAGTGGAGAGATTGAATTGTAAAGTCTCGGTCGTCCGCGCGAATAAACGAGCAGCGGCCACCCGATCCGTTCGCTGCTTCCACTTGGAAACGTTCGCTGTGTACCACGGCTCGTTATGATTAATAGCTGCAACTGAGATGAGGCAAACTGATTTATGCGAACCAGTTCATAAGTTCAAACAAAAAAAAACTGTGTCACAGAAGAAAACGTTCGAGATAGTCTCATGTAGCTTTCATTTCAAATACTGGAACATCATGAAATACAATGGTGTATATTAAATATGTTTTAATACGTCGACTTATTGTTATTCTCAAAGAGGAAAGCAGAAACTCGCGATTCGATAGAAAATACACTGCCTGAATATACAAGATGTGAAGGAAACAGGTGGCCAAACTTTGGTATTCTACTGTTTCTTCTACAAATATAGGCTCATAACTCTTCGTGTACCGCTTCTATATGCTCCCACGTTTGTTTCAATTAGCTTGTCAATGAAATAGTAAGCCATCGCGACGTCATTATGTCCTAAAACTTCGTACTTTTCAATTTTTTCCCTAAAATACACGACAATTTCGTGAAACGAACGTTTTTTCCATTTTATTTTGACACTGCTGAGAGAATCAAGTTCCTAACACTTCAACAAACTGTTTATACTAACAAAAGATCGATTCAACGAATTGAACTCTGTTGTTAGATAACAAATTTATATTCTAGTTTGAAAAGAGAGTTATGAATCTTTTTTCGTCGCGGGTTGAGACAGCTGAATATCGCGAAAATGTGTTTGCTGAGAAAGTGTTATACATATTCGGAAATTCGAATTGTTTCACTCTAATCGACAAACACGGAACGGAAATTTGAAATTCTAATTGAATTCAAACGTATTACTCGCGTAGTTTCGTGCGGCAACGTTCTCTCATCTAATGTCAAGAATTTCACGCAAATGCAAAGAAGAAGAGAAAGACAGATGGGGAACAATCAATGAAACACAAACATCAGAAATGTGTTACAGAAAAATGTTCTCATCAAGTAATACAATGTTATAGAAGAATTTTTATTTGCTTGCAGGTGTACATCGTATACGCATATTACACGAATAACTCACAATTTGAAAATAGTTACGATCTTTCGAAACTTTGAACGAAGAACGATCGCAAGAAGTATCTCGCTTTTCTTTTATTATTTTTATAGATTCGTCGATACGAATGTGAACAAGGGAAATAGTAGATTACATAATATTAGGTTTAGTAGGGCAGCCTTCTTTGCAGTTCACATTAATTGCGTAATCGCAAGTCTGGAGACTCTCGTTGAATTTAAGGCCGCTAGGACATTCCATGGGAATTGGCGGATCGGTGAGACAAACGAAGTAAGTAGTGCAGCTGCATGGATGTTTAACCAATAAGTGATCTTTGGTTGCTTTCGAGCAGTCTGGTCCTAAACCGTCCATGTTGATTACGTAACAGTTTGTGTAGATGAAAACGGCGGCAAATAACAAGAAGGCCAGGGCTGAAAAAAAGCACAGGTTCGTCGAAATTATTCCTTCGTGAAATTCAATCCAATTGGAATTTATTTTATGAATCGAAAGCTGATAGAAATGTAACGCTTCGTTTAAACCATTAAGAATTTTGTTTAACATTTCGTTTGTAATTTTGTTACTAAATTTTTCATTCTGTGGGGCTAGCAGAAGGAAGTTCCGAGTATTGGCTGAAGCTACGATTTTTCGAAAAAATTTGAATATCTGTACAACAGTGTTTATTATAATAAATAAGAGCTTGACTAGATTAATTAGCTTGAATTAGATTGAACTTCTACTAAAGACTATCATGTGTCTGTGAAATATTTAATTGGAAATTGAATTTGGCTCTCATATAAATAGTTTTTATTTTGTCAACATGCACTTGTTCACAATGATGATCAAAGCAAAGTTTATAATATAAAGTCAGACTTATAAAATATAGCATAGTATCGTGTGAATCAAAATGAACGATATAATTGAGAAATAAAAAGAATAAGATTGTTTTTTATAATTATATATTCTGCAATCCTCGTACCTGCCGAAAATATACAAAATTCGTAATCTGATGGATAACATAATGGATTGATTTCTGTATTAATGAAAACTGAAATGATCTCGTCTCCCTATTAATTCAATAATAAACGAAAATGTTAACTTTATTTTATAGTCACATTTCAATTTGTATTTTCACATATTGTTTCTCGTTTTCAAATGAATGATGTAAAATCTTTAAGATGTAAAGTAATTAATAAAGGAATTAAAATCAGAACGACTGAAAGAATTTGATTTATTAAGTAGAATATTGCGAATCATAGTAAAAGTCAATGTCAGTCTAATTAAAGTCTGTTTATAAATTATAAAATTTATAAAAAGAATATTATTATGTAAATTATGTTATTATAAAAATTTATAAAAAGAATGTTATTATATAAAGAATATTGCGAATCATAGTAAAAATCAATGTCAGTCTAATTAAAATCTGTTTATAAATTATAAAATTTATAAAAAGAATATTATTATATATTATTATATAATTATTATATATAATATAATAATAGAATA